GACAGGCGGCCCTTTCACCCCTTCCAGGCGGCGGGAATCCTCCCCAGCCCACCTCCTTCACGCCGATCCCTGCTTTTGGAGAGTGGGGTGGATCCCTAAAGTGACCCCCCGCCGAGCGGGTAAGGACAAACGAAGACTCCCACCGCTCCCACCCGGGGGGTGGGTGGGGCTACTGAGGCTACGGTGGGCAGGAAGGAGGGCTGGGAGGAAGGACCCAGTATCCTGTTTTAGGCTGAAGCAGCAGCAGCAGCAACAAAAGATAAACAAAATCTAGGGATTTGTTGTTTTCTCAAAAGCCCTTCAAGTCTTTGCCTCTCCCAGTGACTTTTCTTAATTGCAAGGGGAGGGGTTGGGTATGTTGCGTGTGCCTGCAGGGAGACCACGCACGCGTTTAGGAGGAGCAGGTAGCGACCTGCGTTCCCTCTGACCTGGGGCACGTGGGCACGTGGGCACGTGGCTTCACTTTCCTGAGCCTCCGTGTCCTTACCTGGGACGTGGGGCGAGGGTTAGGTGTGCGTCCGGTCCCGGGCCTGACAGACCTCAGGTTCCCAAGTGGAGGACGCTATGTTGTGCCAGTGAATGTGACAGTTGGGCCTGACATGGTGCTGGGCAGGGGGGTAAACCTTCCCACCGCCCAAGTAGAGCTTGCAATGCGAGATTTAACCCTGCTCCTCCGTGTGGACCTCAAAAATCAAAAGCCTTGGGGGGGGGGTCCCTAGTCTAGAATCTGAAGAGGCTGTGTGCCCACAGGGAGGACAGCCCTGGCCCAACACATCGGTGTCAGGGGTTGGATGTGAAGGCGCCCCGCAGGGCAGGAGGGCTGAGACCTTCCTTCCCCTCTGCCACCTCCCAGCCCGGAAATGGGAGCTTTCCTCACCACAGGAGCTTTCTCTTGAACTCTCCGCCCCCAAGCCTCACCTCCCGGAAATGGGCAGAGATCTGGCAGAGTTTGATAAATTAGCTTGTTCACTGACTTGCCAGGTGGGGAAAAAGGGCACCATTAAAGAGAACAGACTGAAGTTAAAGCGGCAAAGATAGAATTTAAAACACAAAACAAGCCTGGCCAGCATGGCTCAGTGGTTGAGCGTCAACCTATGAACCAGGAGGTCATGGTTCGATTCCCCGTCAGGGCACATGCCTGGATTGCAGGCTGGATCCCCAATGTGGGGCGTGCAGGAGGCAACCGATCGATGATTCTCTCTCATCATTGATATTTCTGTCTCTCTCTCTCTCCTTCTTACTTCTCTCTGAAATCAATAAAAAAGTAAATTAAAAGAAAACAAAAACAGAAAACTATTGCAACAGAGAAAGAGAGACTCAGTATAGAACTGGGCCTGATTCCCAACACAACCAGTAACAAGTGGGGATGTACAGCTGAGGAGCAAAGGGTAGGGCATTGGTGATGGCAAATGACTAAGAGGAGACATCAAGCCTGGGGGGGATTCTGACCGAGGTGATCAGATATCCCCCCGGGGGGGCAGTGGGTTTCTAGAGGTTGACCAGCTATTAAGGGTGAGGATGTCTCATTAAACTGACTTAGCAGGTTTCTTGCAACAACTGGATCCTACAGAGAGTACAGGCACGGACGCTGCTGGGGAGAGGGCTCAGGGGCGCCACTAAAGGCTGATCAAGCAAAGAATCCTTGCAGTCCCCTCTTGTTCAAGGCAAGAACCGTTCTTTTTTGCTCTGAAAACGTAAGTCCATGTCTCACTTGGTTGCCTTTGTTACCTTAGAACCAGCTGGACCGGCTGTTGAGACTTGGTGACAGTGGATGATGGCTGTACTGCACGACCCACAAGCCATGTAATGGGAGGGATACTTTGAAGATAAACGGAAAGACGAAGATTACAGGTTGAACCGGCTGGTGTGCCCCAGCCTGTAGATCTTCATGGACAGACTGGACGAAGTCCGTGACCTGTTGCCCTTCCTCCGCGGTGATGCGGGCATTTCTCCGTTATGGCAAAGATGTCAGGTGGGTTGCCGGGGACAGAGGTGCGGCAGTCGCTTCCGGTCACTGTGCAAGTGCCCCCTTCTGCAGCCAGGGTCCCGTGAAGGTTGATGCCAGGATGGAGAACATGGAGCTCGGTTTCTCGTAGTTGGGGAGTCACCAGGTCAAGGCCAGTGGTTAACCAGGGACAAGGTGGATTGCTAGGTCAACTGCCTAAGCAATGAATGTGGTTGTCCCCCCCTTAGCTGTGATTTCACTTTCCATGGTTTCAGGGACCTGCGGTCAGTCGTGGTCTGAAAATATTAAGTGGAAAATTCCAGGAAGAAACAATGCATACGTGCCCAGTTGGCTCAGTGGTTAGAATGTTGGCCTGTGGACCGGGGGTCAAGGGCTCGGTTGCAGGTTCCCTAGCCCCAGTAGGGGCATGTGGGGGAGGCAGCCCATCGATGTGTCTTTCTCATGTTGATGTTTCCCCTTTCTCTCCCTCCTTCCTCCCTTCCACGCTCACTAGAAATCTATGGAAAAGATATCCTGGGGTGAGAATTAAAAAAACAAGGCGTATATTTTGAGTTGCCATCGTTCTGAGCAGCGTGATAAAATCTCGTGCCGTCCTGCTCTGTCTTGCTAGGGACGTGAATCTTGCATGGGGCAGGGTCCCAGGCTTGGGAACCACTTCGATTTCTTGGGTGGTGGGGGACGAGGCCGCTAGTTTAGCATATTTATCAGCCCATCTATTTCCTCAGGCCTCATCTGCATTTTTTGTGTTATGACCCTCAGGTTTCCTTTTATTTTAAAGGTTTTAAATTGATTTTTAGAGAGAGAGGGAAGGAGAGGGAGAGAGAGAAAAAACACACACAACATATACATCTATTGGCTGCCTTCTGCACGAGATTGAGCCCGAAACCTGGCATGTGCCCTGACTGGGAATTGAACTGGCACCATTTGGTGCATGGGACAGTGCCCAACCAACTGAGCCACACTGGCCAGGGCTGTCCCTCAGTTTTTTGTGTTTTGTTTTTTTTTAATAATATATTTTTATTGATTTTTTTACAGAGAGGAAGGGAGAGAGATAGAGAGCTAGAAACATCGATGAGAGAGAAACATCGATCAGCTGCCTCCTGCACATCTCCTACTGAGGATGTGCCCACAACCCTGGTACATGCCCTTGACCGGAATCGAACCTGGGACCTTTCAGTCCGCAGGCCGACGCTCTATCCACTGAGCCAAACCGGTTTCGGCTGTCCCTCAGTTTTAACTGTAGTGATCTGCTGGGGCAATAACAATGCTCTAGAAATTATGCTGTTTGGGGTCCATCTGTTACTGGGGTACCAGCTGCTGTCACGAATCCCCCGTGTTTCTATAACATACCAAAACCAAGTACCAGCCCAAAGGCACAGCGGATATCAGCGTGAATGTTAACCTTCCCTCTGCTCCTGTGCAAGCCGAGTAAGAGCCACGAATTCAGTGACGTGGGCGGATCTGGCATTGGGCAGGGCTCGGTATTCTAGAACCTCATGTTGGACTGTAACGGCATACCCAGCCTCCTTCGGGAGGTGAGAGTCATGGACGGGAAGAGGAAGGTCAACTGGGGAGAGGGGGTTTTCTGGTAAAGCTAGCCTAGGACAGGATAATGATCTGGTGCGAATAATACAGTTGTGGGGCGTCCCACCTGTGGGTGAAGGAGGCAGTGACAGTGATGTATGGTGATGGGAGAGGGAGGAAGGAGTAAGATTTCATAGGAGGTAAGCTGAGACGCAGAAAAGTGCTGTATATTTTATTAAGCGACGGGGTCTGCATCGCCTACGGAATGTGTATGTCGAGCGGGTGACCTAATACTACATCAGAGGTCGCTTAGACAAGTGTGGTGGTTGCAGCCGTGGCTCACAGGGGGATATATGCCTTGGCCTCTGGGTCAAAGGCCAAACTATAATATCCCAGGGGTCTCTGGTGTCCATTATGCTTCAGGGATAACATTCCAAGGGCATGACCCTCTGCTTCATGCACAAGCCAAAGGCAGGGAGTAACTGAGAAGTCCAAGGATGGGAGGTGAAAGAGGTTGAGCATCGACTTATGAACCTGAAGGTCACAGTTCGATTCCCGCTCGGGGCACATGCCCGATCTCCAGTGTGGAGCCTGCAGGAGGCAGCTGATGGATGATTCTCTCTCATCATTGAAGTTTCTATCTTTCTGTCCCTCTCCCTTCGTCTCCTGGGTCTGGGGATGCTTCCCTAGTCATGGCATAGAGGGGTGAGTCAATCATGGAGAAATGAGGCATCCACATCTGATCCCACAAGACCTAAAACACTTCTCCGTTGTCATTTTCTGGGAGAAGAAAATGTTGAATCGTGGAGGCTCTGTCTGTGGAGACGGGTTACCTGCAGCTGAAATATCATGACCCAGATACAGAGAGAACAGTTGGAGATTGTCTCCAGCCACCTTGCGGCCCTTTCTCACTCCTGGCTCAGGAAGGTGTTCCGTGTCTGGGGGACTTGTCACGACTGTCCGAACAGAGAAGGAGGTCATCTGCATATTGGCATACAGCGGAGTCTCCTGGGAACTTCAAGTCCCTCCACTTGGCAATTAGGGTGCGCGAGAAGGAAGGAGGAGGAGCCTCAGTCAATCTTTGGGGCATAACAGTCCTAGTATATTGTTGGTTATCCCAGGTGAAGGCGAACAAGTATTGGGATGCCGTACAAAGGGGGTCCTAAACCAGACGGAACACGAATAAGGTCTGAAATGCTGGGTGTCGGAAGGGACATCCGACAGGATAGTGTTGGGATTAGGCGCCGAGGCATATCTGGTTTTGACAACTTCACTGATAGATCGCAGATCTCGGACTAACGCGTGCCCTTGCCTATTTGGTGTTTTGACAGCCAAACGGGGAGTATTGCATAGACGAGGAGTGGGGACCAGACGTGTTTTGTCTAACAAACCTTGGGTTATTGGGCAGAGTCAGTCCCTCAAGTCCTTCTGGCTTTGAATGACGCTGGGAAATCATGGGCGGCGGGGGGGCAAGCAGACTGGATGGAGGCAAAGGTCTGGGTCGCACTGTCTGATGGTGGTTATGATCCAGATCCCAGTAACAGCACGAAGAACTGTTAAAGAGAACCAGAGCTGACAGAAGTTAAAGTGGGAAAGATGGATTTTACTCAAAAAGCTATTGCAGAAGGGAGGGGGGGAGGGAGAGAGAGAGAGAGAGAGAGAGCGAGAGAGAGAGAGAGAGAGAGAGAGAGAGAGAGAAAAACTATTTCAAAAGGGAGAGACTTCAGTATAGAATGGGGTTCAATTCCAAATTACAACCAGAACAAGTGGGGATTTATCAACTAGGAGCAAATTGTGTGTGTGTGTGTGGGCATTGATGAATGGGAACTCACCCAGAGGAGATGAGGTCAGGCCCAGAGGGATTCTGGCTGAAGGCAGGCCATCAGGGGGAGCAGC